CCGCATGTTGGGGACAGACGTCCTTCATAAGCATGGGCCTTTGATACTTGATGCTTCCAGCATCTTACCTTCTCAGCTGTGCTCTCACACGCTTACTTCCCCAGAGCCCCTAAGGGGAGAAAACAAGACTGTTTTTAAAGAGTCACCTTATTGTCTTTTTGAGACAGGGTCTCCCTGTAGCCCCAGCTGTCCTGGAACTCACTATATAGACCAGGCTGGCCTTGAACTCAAAGAGATCCGCCTGCCTCTGCCTCCTGAGTGCTGGGATTAAAGGCGTGTGCCACCACACCTGGCCAAGAATCATCTTTTAATTGAGCCGAACAAATTACAGATCTCTAAGCTTTGCAGTGCCTGGGGATAATGAAATAGTGGCAGTATTGTAGTTAACCAAATGCCAGTGGGTGAAGGAGAGCTTCCAGCATCTACCTGCAACCTCCTCAGGTGCCTGTTCGGGACACACCCATGAAGGAAGGCTAAACACCTGGGAAGTGTTGGCAGCTTGATGTTTGCCCAAGGTCAAGAAAAACAGGGCCTACCTAAAACAGGTTTAGTCCAGTTTGACTAAGAAGAGAGCAGCTCTGATCCCTATCACTGGAGCCCAGATTGCCCAGGCAGCAGAGAAACACTGACATTTGGTGCTTGTGTGTGTGAACTTGATAGACTTGCAGCCCAACCCAGGAGGGCTCAGTAGTCAAGTGGTGGTAAGACACAAGTCTGGTAGTGGTAGTGAAGAAAACCCAGCCCTCCCACTCCGTACCCTGCCCTCCCCTCCCAAAAAAGGGTTAGGAAAAGGAATTGGAAGGAGAGAATATGGACACAGGCCAGTGGGTTTGAGCTCCTAGCTCCTCGTGCTGTGCGCAACTACAGCGTCCAGTGTCAGTCAGGTTGACTGTGAGACCTTGTTGTGAGAAGAGGTGAGAGCACTGGGAACAGAATGATCATTAGAGGCCATTCGTGTTACAACATTTAGACCTCAGTGTTTGCTTGCAAGCACAAGCAGGAGCTAATTTGCAGGGCTGCCTTTGTGAAGCTGCCTTTTGATCAATGATTGCCTGTGTTAATGTTTCAGTAAGCTATTGATTTCTGCAGCAGCTTTTGTTCCCTGAATTTATGTGCACGGGTCTCTGCAGCACACTATGCATGTTTGATTAAAGTTCAATTGACTTCATTCCTGGTGAGGCTCAAGCTGCTTCACTCCCTATTTGTAGAACCAAAGCTTCCCCCAACGTGTTCTTTTGTTTGTGCTCAGGACCTAGCCACCCATGCAGGCGGTGTACTGTTCCTAATCCTCTGTGTTTAATCTCTTGGTGGACATTGCAGCTAATAAAACCTGGCCTGGATTTCTTGTTTTATCAATATAATATATAACATTGTTTTATCAACTTTATTGACATATAATTGATATATATGCCATGTATGCTTTATATACAAGAAAAATACACCACCTACTTTAAGTACACAGTTCAATTACGCTTTGACAGCTGTATACGAAGAACACCACCATCAATTTATGGATCTTTCTGTTGCCCACTTGAGTATTTACTCTGTTGGGCCCTTTGCAAACATTCGCCTATCCCACCCTACAGGCCCTAAGCAACTACTCATTGGCCTTTTTGTGGTTATAGGTTTCCCTTTCTAGAAGGTAATTATATTTGCCTGACTGCTTTCATTTAATAGGCTGTTTCTGAGATACATCTTCATTACTGTATATCGTTCCCTTTTTATTAAGTAATATTTCAGTGAGTGGGTATGCTATAATCCAATTATCCTGCCTCCTGTAACATGTGTCTTGCATGGTGGCACAGGCCTTTAATCCCAGCACTCAGGATTAGTCCCAGGCAGGTGGATATATGTGAGTTCAAGCCCAGCCTGGTCTACATAGTGAGTTCTAGGCCAGCTGGGGCTACAGAGAGATCCTGTCTCAAAACCACAAAACAAAATAGAGGTGATCAGTTGTTACTGTGTGAGGCAACAAGCACTGTTGCACTGTTGAGAAATGTATGGGTGGTACTCAAGCCGCTTCAAAGAAGACCAGCAGACTTGCAGAGACCCAGCTGGGGCCTTGCCTCTTCCCTGATGGTTGAATTTCTTATCACATCCCAGGCTTCTGTAGTTCCTTGACCCTTAAGGTGACCCAGCCTGGGGCTAGAGAGATGGCTCAGCGATTAAGAGCACTAACTGCTCTTGCAGAGGACCCAGGTTCGATTCCCAGCACCCACATGGTGGCTACAAACCATCCTTAACTCCAGTTCCAGGGAAATCCAAAGACCTCTTCTGACCTCCGAGGCATTGCACGACACAGGCGCACTCACATACATGCAGGCAGTACACTCACACACATTTTTAAAAAAAAGATGACCCAGGTGAAAGGCTTGCTTTGGGTTCCCCTCATTCTTCTGCCCAGCTTTGGAGTGAACTCTGATCTGTTGGACCAGTTGTCCACGTGCTTTGATGAAACATGCTACCCTGATGAAGAGTTTGAGAGTGGTTGGGACTTACCTTGGCTTTGTTCAGTTCTCTTACAGGATAAACTAAAGTGAGGTCAGTTTCTAGTAAGCAGAGATCCTAGAATCCTCTAGCAGGTTTATGATCCTGATCCTTATGTCACACCCAGTGTTGGTATAGGAAAATGCGTTCCAAAGTCAGGAAGGTGGGAAGTGAAATGGTTGGAAGCAGGAGGTTCACAGGCCCCTGGACCTGCTGGGGTTGCCATTTGTACCACAGCACATGGTAGAGAAATAGAAATCCCAAAGGCAGTTTCTGCATTCTCCCTTATTGTTCAACTGGCATCTTGTGGAATTTTTATTATTATTATTATTATTATTATTATTATTATTGTTGATTACATGCATATAGAGGTGGAGGTCAGAGGATAACTTGCAGGAGTTGGTTCTCTCTTTCCATCATATACGTACCAAGGATCAAACTCAGGTTATCAGACTTGCCTTTACCATCTCGCTGACCCTAGAAATCCTTTTTTATTTTTTTTTTGGTGTGTGGGGGATGTTAAGACAAGGTCTCCCTGTAGCCCCAGCTGGCCTGGCACTCTCTATGTAGACCAGGCTGGCCTTGAACTCACAGAGATCCTCCTGCCTCTGCCTCCCGAGTCCTTTTTTAAAATTCTCTTTTATGGCTGGAGAGATGGCTCCAGTGGTTAAGAGCACAGGCTGCTCTTGCAGAGGACCTGGGTTTGATTCCCAGCACCTATATGGCGGCTAACAACCATCATAATTCCACTTCTAGGGGATCTGACACCCTCCTCTGGGCCCTACAGGCATTGCATTACACCAGTGAACTTACATACATGCAAGCAAAACACTCGTACACGTAAAATAGAAATAATAAATAATGCCGGGCGTGGTGGTGCACACCTGTAGTCCCAGCACTTGGGAGGCAGAGGAATTTTTTTTTTTTTTAAAGGAACATACACATAAAGGCTAGAGATGTAGATGTAGCTCAATGGTAGAGGTCTTGCCTAGGTTGTGCAATGCCCTGGCTTCTGTCCCCTATCCTCCGCATTCCCCCTCCCCCCCCCAATAAAAAATGAAGTGGGGAGGGGAGGAAGCAAGCAAGCAAGCTGTTTCTGGGTAAAAGGTACTTTAGCACACCTGCATTAGCTGCCTCCCAGAAGCTGTTTCCTTGACTAAAATCTACCCACTGCTCTTCCGTGGTTCAAGGCCCCTCCCCTGGGCGTGTGAACCTGGATGCACCTCATCTGATTGGTTCTCTGTTGGTCACAATATAAATGTTCTCCAGTCTTCTTTGCTTAGTTGATTTACTTCATCTTCCCAGCTAGTTTCCTGGAAAACAGTCTTGCCTCCTCTTTTTCCTTGGCACCTTGCTCAGGGCACAGCGAGCACTAGGGGAGACACACTGGTACTCTGGTCTGGATTCATCCTCAGGGCAACTTTGGTATCTGGAGATCTGCGAAGTAACTGAGTGTCTGCAACACTGATTTAATGTGAGGACAGTGTGACCTAGGCTTGCTCACAGTTGGGATTTTGTTATTGATGTTCTTTTAAGCCCTAGGCAAAGAGACTTTATCAAGAAGTCAGTCTTTTGTTTTCATTATTTTTTAATTATGTGGACATGTGTGTGTCTGAGTGTGGATATGTGCACTCAAGTGCAAGTGCCCAAGAAAGCCAAGGTGTCAGATTCCCTGGAGTTGGAGTTGTAGGCAGTTGTGAGCTCTGTGGGTACTGGGAAGTAAACTCAGGTTCTCTGCAAGAGCAGTACAAACCCTTAACTGCTGAGCCATCTCTCAAGCCCCAAGAAGTCAGTCGTCTTTTACAGAAACCCATTTTTTGTACACTTAAATTATTCAAAAGTAGTTGGTTTTAGTCAGCCTGGGCTAAGTTGAAAGTCGCATTTGTGTGGGAGGCAGGTGACAGCAGACTCCTTGGGTAAGGCTGCCGCAGCGCCCTTTTGTTTAAGTTGCATTCACTGTACTTTCTACGGCAGGGCTTAGCTTCCTTTTTGCTGGGTCATAAACATAATAGCTTTTCTTTGTCAGGAAGGCTTGCAGCGTGACAGGTGTCTGTCCTGCCTGCCTTTGTCAGGCCCCAGTCCTGTCCTTGAGGACTTTGCTAGCTTGTACAGCGTGGCCATTCAGAAGGTCAGGGAGGTGGAAGAAAGGCAGCTTGCCTTGGGGTGGGAGCTCTTTTCTTCCTGGCCCTCACCCCTGCCAGTTCAGCTGCATCCTTCTGTGCTTGTTCCTGAGGTAATCTAAGTAGCAGAGTTTTCTCACCTACCTGTGAACCACATGCTCAGAACACTGCCTCCATATGCACACTCCGCCCTCCAGCGAGCCGAGGCCCCTCTCCCCTTTGTCTCCTGCTGGTGCTGAAGTCTGGAGGCCATGCTCTGTGGAGCTGCAGGGTACCGGCTGCTGGGCCTCTCCAGGGAGTACTGCTGCCACCTTGCTCTCAGCACTGGGCAGAGGAGGATGTGGCAGGGAGGCCTTGGGCATGTCCACTCATGGTGGCCCTTTTTTCTTGTAGGGGGAGTTGATTACCTTCTATTACTACTGGAAGAAAACCCCAGAGGCAGCCAGCTCCCGAGCCCACCGCCGGCACCGAAGGCAGGCTGTATTCAGGAGGATTAAGACGCGCACTGCATCCACCCCTGTCAACACACCCTCTAGGCCTCCTTCCAGTGAATTCTGTAAGTGGGATCTTGGTGCTGCAAAGGGTTGTGAACAACTGTTAACATGACTATGTCCACCTCTCAGCCTGCAGAGCTGATAACCCAGGCAGTTGTGTGGCATGTATTTGCGTGTGTGTGCACGTATATACATTAGTGTGGATCATCACAGGAGATACTCAGTAGGAGTAGTTTTAAAAATTATTTGTACATTGGGGCTGGAGAGATGGCTCAGTGGTTAAGAGCGGACCCAGGTTCAGTTCCCAGCACCCACATGGTGGCTACGAATCGTCCTTAATGCCAGTTCCAGGGGAATCCGAAACCTTCTGACCTCTGCAGCACTGCACGACACGGGTGCACTCACATACAGGAAGGCAATACACTCATACACATAAAATAAAAATAATAAATAAAATATTTTTTAAAATTATTCATGTGTTTAGGTATTTCTAATAAACTCCATTTACATTTTACAAAAATATAAGCTTGGCCTAGGGTTTTACGTTCTTACTTGCTTTACCAAGATCCTCTTCCAGGCCCAGTGTGATGTATACCTAATATGACAGAGAGTCCTTGTGAGCCCTGTCCTCTTGCCCCTTTGCAGTTCTGTTCTGGCCCAACACTGGTCTAGAGGCACCTGTGTTGTACGTGGTGAGAGCCAGAAATCATCTGATGCAGGACTGGTTGGGGTGATATGGGACAGAATCCCTCAGGATTCTGCAGGATGCACCAGGAAAGACTTTGTGGGTACACTTGTGCTGGAAACAAGTATGACAACATTCCCTAAAAATCTGGCCGAGCAGGCCTTTGAGTATTGCCCCTCACACACTGGTGACCAGTCCTGAGGAATTCAGAACGAGCCTTTGTGACTGCTGCCTGCCCCAGCCTGTGGATCCACTCTGCTGGTGGCCCTATCCCTGGCTGAGCATGATGGCTTCTCTCCCTCCCCCTACTTTTGCTCACTTGCGCAGTGGACCTGAGTTCAGCCAGTGAGGATGACTTTGACAGTGAGGACAGCGAGCAGGAGCTGAAGGGGTACGCCTGCCGTCACTGCTTCACCACCAGTAAGTAGCCTTGTTGTGCTCTCAGTGGGGACGGACTCATTCCTAGGGCAGGCCAGGCTCTGACACTGGCAGGTTCAGAATATTTCACACACCAGGCTGGAAACCTGCCAGGACCAGTGATTGATTTGACATTTGCATTGTGCTTGAGAAACTTGAATCTTTTTATCTGGTTTTGCTCCCCTGTTGAGTGGTAGGAACTATACCACCTGCTTAGGTAGGAGGAACTCATAAAATGGGTGGGCGGGGGGTGTCTGTGATTCCTGAGAATTTGCTGCCATCTTAGGGTACCCAAGTAGGGGCAGTGGATGCCCCTCACCAGCCCTGCACTGTCTGAGGAACAGGTGTCTGTCCAGTCCCATGCTGTGTGACTCTGCACCAGGGTCAGGTGGAGCCAACAGAGGGGTCCCTTGGCCCAGATGCTCCATAGGACAGATGGACAGATGGTTTCCTCCTCTCACATAGCCTCTAAAGACTGGCACCACGGAGGCCGGGAAAACATCCTGCTCTGCACTGACTGCCGCATCCACTTCAAGAAGTACGGGGAGCTTCCACCCATTGAGAAGCCTGTGGACCCCCCGCCGTTCATGTTCAAGCCTGTCAAGGAGGAGGACGATGGGCTCAGTGGCAAGCATAGCATGAGGACGCGGCGGAGTCGGGGCTCGGTGAGTCTAGAGTCTGGTGCTGAGGCCTCAAGCCCACCAGACTAATAACAAGGGTTGGTTTTAGGCAGAGAAACATACTCTTGGTGGTATTTGGCTTTCCAAAGGCAATAGCCTTGCCTGTGGGATCATGGCCAGCACTCTGTTCTTTTTGAGGGGGCATGGAATATATCCCAAGCTTAGTTTTACAGAGAACCCATTGGTCTTGGTTTGTGGCCCAGTGCCAGCTCTCAAAGTCCCTCAGAACTTCCTCTGGTATATGGACTGCTCACCTCCATGTGGCATAGCTCTATTTTAAGCTTTGCAGGCTGGTTTTCCCAAACATTGATCCGGTTTTAGAGGCTTCTGCAGACCCTTTAATAGACTCTTTAATAAAGAAGCTTTGTTTAACTGGTCATGGTGGCTCGTACCTATAATCCTGGCATTTGGGAAGCTGTAACAGGAGGATTGCCGTCAATTCAAAGTCAGCCTGGCTACAGAGTCTAGCCTTAAAGCAGCAGCTTTGTTAAACCTGGGTTGCAGTGTCTGGGACCACAAGTGCTCCCCTCTTTAGGCTTTGGGTTGAGAAGGCTGAGGAGCACGGGCCTCCAGGGCCTTTCTGGTAGGTGGAAAGGATGCCCACCTTTCTCTGTCCTGACCTCATTTGAGCCCTGTGGCTTTGCAAAAGTGTGCTGAGGGCCAGGCAGGCAGTTCATGGGAAATAAACAACGATGTTTAATATCCTCGTCTCTGTGTGTGGGAGAGTAGACAGTTATCTGGGATGGTGATGGAACTTCTGCCAGCCACTCAGAAAACCTGTTAGTTTTCAAGACAGTCCCTCAGGATGCATTTCTGACTTTGAGAATTGCTCTTCTCAGTTCGTGGACATACCTGTTTCTCCTATCTCCTGCTGTGACTGGGCTCAGGTGGGCATCTGTGGGGCTTGCGGGTCCATCCTCATTATCCTTTGGTTTTGGAGGGGCAGATGTCTACACTACGCAGTGGTCGGAAGAAGCAGCCTGCCAGCCCTGATGGTCGTGCCTCGCCTATCAATGAAGACATCCGCTCCAGTGGCCGGAACTCCCCTAGTGCCGCCAGCACGTCCAGCAATGACAGTAAAGCAGAGACAGTGAAGAAGTCAGCCAAGGTCAGGGGCTGGGGAAGAGTAGGAGCTCTTGGGTCCCTCCCTCCCATTGGAGCAGGGCTGCTGGAGCTCTTCTCAGCTCCTCAAACATGGCTACAGCTGTCGTGGAACCTCTCTAGGCATTGACTTTGTCCTGGCTTAGGACATTTCCCCCCAGGGCTGTCCCCAAACGTCGTTTCCTTTGCTTCCTACAGAAGGTGAAGGAGGAGGCTGTATCCCCTCTGAAGAGTACCAAGCGCCAAAGGGAGAAGGTGGCCTCTGACACAGAGGAGACCGATAGGACCGCCTCCAAAAAGACGAAGACCCAGGTGAGGTTGGCAACTGAGTCTTGTTAACTCAGGCTAGCTCTAGGCTCCTTTGAAACCCCCAGCCCATGTTCTCCTGGGGGAAGGCAGTTCCCCAACTTCCAGGAAAGGAGCTTACATAGTTTGGGGTAGGAGCTAAAGTGACCCTCAATGCCAGGTTTGGGAGGAGCTGAGCTCACTGCTGTCTCTGCACAGACCTTGGTTGTGGTTGTGTGTTCCGTAGCAGTATGGGGCGGAGCTCTGCTTCCTGGGGCTTCCATCCCTTGCTTCTCTGGCTCTAGGAGATCAGCCGCCCCAACTCGCCATCTGAAGGTGAGGGGGAGAGTTCAGACAGCCGCAGTGTCAACGACGAGGGCAGCAGTGACCCGAAAGACATCGACCAGGACAATCGCAGCACGTCCCCTAGTATCCCCAGCCCTCAGGACAATGAAAGTGACTCGGACTCATCAGCCCAGCAGCAGATGCTGCAGGCCCAGCCCCCAGCCTTGCAGGCTCCCAGTGGGGCTGCCCCAACTCCATCCACAGCCCCTCCAGGAACACCCCAGCTTCCCACCCCAGGACCCACACCTTCTGCCACTGCAGTCCCTACACAGGGCTCCCCTGCAGCCTCACAGCCTCCTAACCAGCCACAGGCTACAGTGGCACCTGCAGCCCACACTCACATCCAGCAGGCGCCCAACTTGCACCCACCTCGGCTGCCCTCACCTCATCCTCCACTGCAGCCTCTGACTGCGCCAGCTAACCAGAACTCTGCACCACCTCACACCCAGTCCTCCCTGCATGGTCAGGGTCCACCTGGCCCTCACAGCCTACAGGCTGGACCCCTGCTGCAGCACCCAGGTCCTCCACAGCCCTTTGGCCTTCCTCCCCAGGCCTCCCAAGGCCAGGCTTCTCTAGGGACCTCTCCAGCAGCAGCGCACCCTCACACTACCCTGCAGCTTCCAGCCTCTCAGTCAACACTGCAACCCCAACAGCCTCCAAGGGAACAGCCCTTGCCTCCTGCACCCTTGGCCATGCCTCACATCAAACCCCCACCCACCACACCAATTCCCCAGCTTCCAGCACCACAGGCCCATAAACATCCACCTCACCTCTCGGGGCCCTCGCCCTTCTCCATGAATGCCAACCTGCCACCCCCTCCAGCCCTGAAGCCCCTCAGCTCGCTGTCCACACACCATCCTCCCTCAGCCCACCCTCCACCCCTGCAACTCATGCCACAGAGCCAGCCCTTGACCACCTCTCCAGCTCAGCCCCCCGGGCTAACCCAGAGCCAAAGCCTGCCTCCTCCTCCTGCTTCCCACCCCCCCACCAGCCTCCACCAGGTGCCCCCTCAGTCCCCTTTCCCCCAGCATCCTTTTGTGCCTGGAGGCCCTCCTCCCATCACCCCACCCTCCTGCCCCTCCACCTCCACCCCACCAGCGGGGCCCAGCACCTCCCAGCCACCCTGCTCTGCTGCTGTTTCTTCTGGAAACAACATCCCAGGGGCACCATCCTGCCCACTCCCTACTGTGCAGATCAAAGAGGAGGCTCTGGACGATGCTGAGGAGCCAGAGAGTCCCCCACCACCTCCCAGAAGCCCGTCCCCTGAGCCCACCGTGGTGGACACCCCCAGCCATGCTAGCCAGTCTGCCAGGTACTGGTTTGTTGGATGTGGACCCAGCTGGGTGTGGGTGGAGTCTGGTGGAGGTGGGCACAGCCTCAGCAGGACCCCAAGCGTTGCTGCCTTTCTAGGTTCTATAAGCACCTGGACCGGGGTTACAACTCATGTGCACGGACTGACCTGTACTTCATGCCTCTGGCTGGATCCAAACTAGCCAAGAAGAGGGAGGAGGCCATTGAGAAAGCCAAGCGGGAGGCAGAACAGAAAGCCCGCGAGGAACGGGAGCGGGAGAAAGAGAAGGAGAAAGAACGAGAACGCGAACGAGAGCGGGAACGGGAGGCAGAGAGAGCTGCGGTGAGTCCTGGAGGGGCCTGATGTGCAAGGAGGGCAGTGTCCCCAGCCAGGTTATGGTCACCCAGGTCTGTCCCAGGCTGCTGGCACATTCTCTCGATGCCCTTGGCACCCCTTCCCAGGCTTTTCTGAAGGGTGTAGCCCATTGCCTGACAGTCATAGGCCTCGATTGATGGGTCTGCCCTTCCCCTGCAGCCTGTAGACTTGTGTCTCCTCCATAATCCCAAGGTGTCAAGCAGGAGAGGGTGACCTGGAAGGAGAACAAAGCATGGGGGTGAGGAATCCTGTGCTGAAGCTCTCTTGTGGGGCACCCAGTGCCTACTTGGTCAGGAGGGGTAAGGAGAGCCAAATCTAAAACCACATGCAGGCTTCCTGGCCCTTGAGCTCCCTTGTGCACACCTATACATCAGTCCGTCTTGTTCACAGACAAGGTTGTAGGTAGGCACAGATGAGTATCATAGCAGGGTATGAACTGGACCTGGCCATGGCTGAGATCCCCCTTCTCAGGTTGGGATGGAGGGACCAGGCTGGCCTGACACTGTAGGTCTGGAACAGGCCAGGGCCACCTCTGTTGGGAACACCAGAGATGTTCACCAAAACACCCTCTTTTCTTCAGCAGAAAGCATCTAGTTCAGCTCATGAAGGCCGCCTTAGTGACCCTCAGCTCAGTGGTCCTGGTCATATGCGACCTTCCTTCGAACCACCACCGACTACAATTGCCGCTGTGCCCCCATACATTGGTCCCGACACACCTGCCCTCCGGACACTGAGCGAGTATGCTCGGCCCCATGTCATGTCGCCCACCAACCGCAACCACCCCTTCTACATGCCCCTTAATCCCACTGACCCACTGCTGGCCTACCATATGCCTGGCCTCTACAACGTTGACCCTACCATCCGTGAGCGGGAGCTCCGAGAACGCGAGATCCGGGAGCGTGAGATCCGGGAGCGTGAGTTACGGGAGAGGATGAAGCCAGGCTTTGAGGTGAAGCCCCCGGAGCTGGACCCCCTGCACCCAGCCACCAACCCTATGGAGCATTTTGCCCGGCACAGCGCCCTCACCATCCCCCCTGCAGCTGGCCCTCACCCATTTGCCTCTTTCCACCCGGGTCTGAACCCCCTGGAGCGGGAGAGACTGGCCCTGGCAGGCCCCCAGCTGCGGCCTGAGATGAGCTACCCAGACAGACTGGCTGCCGAGCGCATCCATGCTGAGCGCATGGCATCACTGACCAGCGACCCTCTAGCACGACTGCAGATGTTTAATGTGACTCCACACCATCACCAGCACTCACATATCCATTCCCACCTCCACCTCCACCAGCAGGACCCCCTTCACCAAGGTATGTGCCCAATACATGCAAGGCTAGGCTGGGCCGAGGCATCTCATAGAACTTAAAAGAACATCCCTCTGTTCCTGCATGTAGTAGGGGTGACAAAACAGGAGGCAGGGCTTCTGTTGGCTTTGAGCACTTGGAGCAGATGGCCAGCATGTGAGGCTCTAAGGTCAGCTCCGTGGACAGCTGGGGGAGGCAGGTCTGGGGCAGAGTAGGCACAGTATCAGTCCCTCAAAGGTGAGGCTAGATGTAAAGGCAGCTGTCCAGATAGTCCTTGATGACAGGCAGGGAAGCAGGAGAGGGGCAGCATTGCAGGTGGAGGTCTACTGTGAGAGGCCCTCCAAAGGGGTAGAAGAGTGAGCCAACATGAGCAGCTGGAGACGGCCATAGAAGGCCTAAGGGGGAGTGCTGGTTCACCAGGGACCCAGGACGGGGGAGCAGCCCAGGAAAGAGGGTTGTGAGGCTGTCCCAAAGAGATGGGGAGAGACAGCTTTTGCTGTGAACAGAGTAAAGACAGTGCCAAGCGGAGATGGGACAGAAGAGGCACAGGGCAGGCCTTGGGTCAGTGGCCTTGGAAGTGGTAGGAGATGTGTGGTCCATTGTAGGCTTTCTGCCTGTGGAGTGCACTCAAGGGAATGGCAGGATTATTTGCAACCAGGGAGCTTCCCACCCTCATGACCAAGAGCCAAGATCTTGGGTGAGAGGGAAGTCAGGGTCATGCAGTGAGCAGAGCGCTAGACCCACGTACCAGCTCCACCTGAACCTGTGTCCCTCCTTTTAGGTTCAGCGGGCCCAGTTCACCCCCTGGTTGATCCTTTGACTGCTGGCCCTCACCTGGCTCGCTTCCCCTACCCCCCTGGTACTCTCCCCAACCCTCTGCTTGGACAGCCTCCCCATGAGCACGAGATGCTGCGCCACCCAGTTTTCGGTAAGAATTCACTGGAAGAGGGTGGGGCTTCCAAGTAGAAGTTGTGTGGGAATCCTTTCAGCAGTCCATCCGTTCTCATTCACTGACCAACTGAACACATGTGGGGACCATGCAGGCAGACTCATGTACCAGGAGCGTTTGAAGTGGGGAGAGGCCAGAAATGCACAGCAAAACCACCTGTCAGGAACCAGGACTAACCCGTGCTTTCCAAGGGCAGTAGGTGCCTGATCATGAGACCGAAACCTGGGGACAAGGGAGCAGGCAAGGTCTGAGCAAGAGGCCCAGTGCAAGGGGTGGAGGGCTAGTGTGGGCCTTCTTCCTCCGTGGGGTTCTGCTGAGCAGCCTCCTTTCCCAGTTCTGATGAAGTGCTCTCTGTAGGTCCTGGGAACGGCTGCCTCGGCTCTTCAGCTAGAGGTAGATAATGCCAGGGAGACTCTCTCCTGACCTCCTTACTGGGCACTGTTGTGGTTGCCCTGGTCCTGGTTACTCCCTTGACTTGTTTTTGTAGCGGAGCCTGTTTTGTGCTTGGCAGGCACCCCCTATCCCCGAGACCTGCCCGGGGCCATCCCACCCCCCATGTCAGCAGCCCACCAGCTTCAGGCCATGCATGCCCAGTCAGCCGAGCTACAGAGACTGGCCATGGAGCAGCAGTGGCTGCATGGACACCCCCACATGCATGGTGGCCACCTACCAAGTCAGGAAGATTATTACAGGTGAGGTGGGAGGGAGGGAGGGAAGGAGGGAGGACAGGCAGGCCAGAGGATGAGGCTGTATCCAAGCCTAGGCTTTCTACCCATTCCTCTGCCCCGCCCATCGCTCTACTTAGCCCTCATGGGGACCCTCACCAAACCTTTGTGATGAGAGGGAGGGAGGGAGGGAGGGACGGAGGCACACAGGCATGACTTGGCTGTATGAGAGGCCACTGGGGTGGGAGTGGGATCCACAAGCCAATGAATGCTCTAGTCATCTGCCTGTAGCCTATGAGATGCTGCCTCCCATGCCCCAGCCCAGCCTGATACTGTTCTCGATTTATTTTTTCTTTTTTCTCCTTTCCAGTCGACTGAAGAAAGAAGGTGACAAGCAGTTATAAGTTATTTATTAATGCTGGCTGTGGAAACCCCAGTTCTCGGGGGTCAGAAACAGGACTTTTACATACAGTAGGAGCTACAGACGCAAAAGGAGTGTGGTCTAAAGACTCTTCCATGTATTTAAAGGCCCCACAACTAAAAACGCATCTGCATAATAGTGTTTGTTTGTCGAAAGGATTTCCTGAGGCTGGTTTGGGTCTCCCTGCATGACAGTCCCCCAGAAACTTAGTGCGTCCTGGGCTGGACTGAGCACCCAGAAAACTTCCCTGCAGTCTTGGGGTTTGGCTTTAGTCTCTTTTCCTTGATTTCTCGGTAGGTGCTAGAATCCGTTCACACCCTTCACTGTGCGTGCAGACACTGACTCACGTGGGCTCCAGAACCCACAAGTTTGCAGAGAGGCGGCGTATGAGTTTGGAATCCAAGAGCTATAATTTTTAAAAAATCTTTTATTTTAATACATTGTAGGAAATCTTCATAATTTGAGAAAGTTCTGCAGCATGGCTTTTTACATCTGTAAATAAATAATTTTAGAAGTCTTTTTTTTCCTTCCACAAACGACTATTCTGATCTATTTTTTCCAGCCATGTCACTGATTGTGAATTCCTACCAGCTATTGACAGAATACAGAGTTGATTTTTTAATAAAAAGCTATATATAATTATCCCTTTAATTAAAGGGAGCAGATAGGCGGTACTGGTTGCAAGCGGACAGGTGCTTGGGACTAGGCTTGGTCACAGTGGTGAGCATCCAGGGTTGGCAGGGACAGTGTTACAAACTTTATTTTGCTGCTTTGATTCCACTTCTGTCTGTCCCTTGCGTGTGCAGTGGCAGGCATGTTTGAGTGGGCCCCCTCCTTATTCATAAGAGTTCAGTGTTGGCTTTCTGTTCCCTAGAGTCACCTTGTCCTGTCTGGTCTAGAGAGTGCATGTATATGTGTCTGGTCATGAATTTCCATGAGCTTTGTGCACATACATCTGATTGTTGGGATAAATTGCCTTTTTTTTTTTTTAAGACTGAGATTTTCATAAACATTGTAGAAAATGATTCAATACAGGTAACTCAGCACATGAAAGACCTAGGACGTACGCTTGCCAAAGGAATGTTAGAACTGCCCATGTGCATGCCAGCAGGCCAAGCCATCCTTGCCACAGACTGCTTCAGAGTGAGGGGCACTCCAGGCTTACATGTCTGGCTTGTGGTTTGTTTTCCAAAACAGGCCTGTGCCTGGTGACCCACAAGCTCCTAGGAAGCCATTTGAAGCCTGCTCTTCCTGGAAGTAGGAACAAGAGCCCTGGCTAAACACAGGTTCCCCTGGAAAACCCTCGCTCAGCAGGAGGTCATACCCTTTGGGAGCAGAGCAGTCCTGGGCAGAGCTGGCCGCTGCTTCCCCACTGCTGATGGGATGGCTCCCTCCAGAGCCAAGGGCAGAGATGTCTGCCAGGACAGAACCTCGTCCCATCTCCCTCACTTGTATGTAGTGGTCACTCTGTGAGCCAGTAGATAAGGAGTGTCCAGGTCCCATGGGAGAGAAGTGGCTCATAGCTGACCTGGCGTTCACACTGCTCCAGGCTCTGACTCGGATCTGCAGTGGGGCTTCATGCTCCCAGAACCAGGCTTGGGGCAGCTAAGATCGATTTGTCTATTGAAGATGTTTGTAGGGTTTCTTTGTTTTAAGTTTCTTTTTCTCTCATTCCATTTCTGCCTTAACTTTGGTTTCTCACAGGAGGCAACTTCAAATTAACCCTTTTCTCATCCAACTTGCTGGTTGCCTTGGCACAGAGGCATTTGTTCTGTTGTGGGGAGTAGTGACATGCCCTCCAGCCCTTGGGGCTTTGAGGAAGGCCTCTTCTGCTGTGAGGGCAGCTCCTTCTTGTCCCACACCACCACCTCCTCCCCGTCCCTTTAACTGAATCTGCCATCAGTTAGACCTCGATCTCCTCTCTATTACCCATTTCCAAAGAGAAAGTGTGAAGTACTTTGAAGTCTGTACTTGAAATCTGTCTGGAAGTGTTTTCTTGTTAGTTTTGGCTTTCTTCTCCTGTCCCAAGGTGAAACACTGAGGTCTTCATTTCGAACCGTCCCCCAACCAGCTATGGTTTGTTCAGGAGGCCCCAGACCCTCGCAGCATCTACACCGAGGCTGCTTGGTTTCCTTTTGCATTTTCCTTCCTTTCATTTGAGGTTTGGGTTTGCTTTCTGTGTTCTGTATGTATCTTGTTGAGTGTCGAGGTTGAGCTTCCCGTCTCACTGCAGCGGAGTGGAGCGGACATTCTGATCGCTGCGTTCCTATAGATCTCGGAGCTAAGTGTATATATGAGTAGTTTGCCATGAGATAACACAGTGTAAACAGAGTAGACACCCAGAAATCGTGACTTCTGTGTTCTCTCCATTTGAGTATTTTGTAATTTTTTTGAAATATTTGTGGACATAAATAAAACCAAGCTACACTACAACCCTGGGTGTTGGCCAGCACACTGTCTCATTCTGGAGCGCCGGTGGGGTACTGGCAAGGGGACATCAGCATGCTGCCAGGCCCTGCTTACCTCCTAGAGCAGCTTCTAGAAACACGGCTCCGTGCTGTCTAGGAGGAAGGGCTGCCTTCTCAAATCCCTTGCTCTCTGGGACCAACACTGCCTCTACCACCACCACCACTCACTCACCCACACCACCATCAGGGTGTGTGAGGAACAGGTTCCTAGCCTGCTGAGGAGCTACTGGAGCCATGTGGCTGCATAGCAGCCTCCTGCCACTGGCTGTTCTGCCTGTCCTCCAGGTTGAAGGTTAGGCCCTGGTAGGGGGGAGGGTACACTGGGTGTCCTGCAAGTGTGAGTGTGGCCACCAAGGGGCAGGACTCCTGGCAGATTCCTGCTGTGGTTTCAGTCAGGAGCTTTTTTCCTGAAGTTTCAACACTGTTCCTGAAGAAGAATTTCTGGAATGAAGCTATGATTTTCTAGGTACTTGGAAGGTAGGGTACAAGCAACCCAGACAACCTACTATTGCTAAGCCTGTTGGGGAGGAAGGTCTGGGGGCAATAGAAGTCTGTGCTGCCCCCTTACGCAGATGAAAAAAGCACCGCCATGTGGCCTGAATGGGGTGTGCATCGGTAGCCCAGGGTGCAGCTCTGTGCCCTCCAGCAGGAGCAGGCCTGCTCAGCAGCTTGGGTGACCAGGGACTTACAGGCCAGCCAGGAAGCCAGGCAGTGGCTGCTCTATGGCTGCTTACATGAATGTCTGTCTGAATGCACATGTTGAGGTGGCTAAATGGTAAGGCCCAAGTGTTGATAAACTGTTCACGCCACAGAAAAAGTCCTCACGAGCTGCCATGTGCTTTCTAGGAAATACGGATAGCCCAGGCAGGCCCAGGCACTACGGAAAACTGGCGGGTCCTCAGTACACTAAAGTGGAACCACGTTTAATATTGAGCAGCCCCACTACTATCTTTCCAGAGGAAAGGGAAACAGACACAGGCACTCCTGTCTCCACCACAGCCTTCACGGTGGCCAGTGTGGGATCAACTCACATGTTCATTGGTGTGTGAATGGCTTTTATTACAAGGGGGTGTACACATGCATACATTTACCTGTGTACGTAGTAAAAGCTAGTCATGAAAAATGGAGCCCTGGGCAGAGGTGATAGCTCACCAGTTAAGAGCACTGGCTGCTCTTGAGAGGATCCAAGTTCAATTCCCAGTTCAGGGGATCTGATGCCCCCTTCTGACCTCCTCAGCATTGCATGGCATGGGTGCACTTACACACATAAAATAAAATTTTTTTTTTTGTCTTTTTGAAGCAGGGTCTCCCTGTAGCCTCAGCTGTCCTGGAACTCACTATGTAGACCAGGCTGGCCTTGAACTCAGAGATCTGCCTGCCTCTTCCTCCCGAGTGCTGAGATCAAAGGTGTACACCACCACGCCCGGCCTCTGGTTTAGTTCTTACACATTGTGTACCGGTGTCAGGGTCTGTCTCTGTGTATTTCAGCTAAGCAGGAGTCTGGACCTTGGTCAGGCCATTGTTTCCACACTGTCATATATCTAAAGCAGAGGGCCAAAACTGGGTGGACGAGGTACTGGGCAGTTGCCACATGTCTGTTCTGCCAGTGGCTACCCAAAGTACCATTTGTTCTGGAAATGGGTCCTCCACCTGGCCATGGAGACCCTGCAACCTGTTTTCTGATTCAGTGGCACCAAGTGTGAGAAGATGACGTCACAGCACACCTCAGGTGTATAGCTGGGTATGTCGCTTAGCTAATAACTTCCCTGGTAAGCTCACAGAAATACCACTGGGTAAACCAAAGTCACAACTCAGAAGAGATCAGCAATGCCCTCTCAAGTGGTGTTGCAAGCATCCAGACTCTGAAGCAAACTGCTGAGGGAAGGCCAGGACCCCTGGCGCAAAAAGCACAAGCACTCCAGCCTGGTCCCAGGACACAAGCCAGACTTCAGAACCACCCTCAGTGTCCTTGGTTAACGTGGAAGGTCCAGGAGTGTTCCTGAACTCAGAGCTTTGAAATCAGAGTGCACCTTGTTACTCAGACACACCTAGGGGCTGAGCCAGCCAGACCAGAAGAAGCACCTGCCCTGCATCGGGCCTCTGTGGAGACCTGGAGAGACGTGACACTGGCTTTCCTGTCCCAGGGAAACAGACCATGCCGCAGACTGTACAGTTAAATGGGCTCAGGCTGCAGCCAGGCTAGGATCCTGGGGTAGCCAGAACAAGGCCTGGAGGGAGCTGGGCCACGGGATCATGAATGGTGCGTGGGACCCGTCGGTGGCCTAGAAGCAACCCCGACTGAACTCCAGTTGCAGCTTCCCCCAAAGCCTGTGCCTTCTCTGGGTTCCTGCATTATGTCAGTGGCCTCAGAGCTCTCTGTATTGGAAATGTCCGTTCCCAGAGTGTTTAGTGAGTTCACTGCTGTTCAGGAGCCCTAACAGCTCTTTGCCAGGAGTGGGAATTGTTTCCTTTTTCATCAGTCATGCATCCATGCTGTAAAACTGTCCCATGGCCCCCTCTAACCCAACACCTCAGTTCCCCTGGCTACTGGGCTCCTATCTATGTGAGCTGATATCCCAAGGCCTATATGTGTGTCACCGGAAGTTACTAGCTCTGTAACTTCTACAGGACAAGTGGATGGGTAAAGGGTACTTGGGAGCAAGGCCCCTTGCTACCTAGTACTGATTTGCTTATAGGCATGAGTGACCAGATTGACCTTTGCTCTAGTCCAGGCTGAGTGTGAAAGTCCTTTCCAGGAGTGCCCACTGCTGACTTTCTGGCCATCCTGATTAGCCACGGCCTTACCTCATGCCTACAGTCCTGGTGGGCACTGTTCTTAGAAGCTGGGAGCATCTCTGTCCTGCAGCTTGTCCTCTGGTGAACCCCAGGGGTGAATTCAGTTTGAAAACAAGCTTTTGTGAGAGTGTGTGTGTGTGTGTGTGTGTGTGTGTGTGTACATGCATGCCCACACAAGCTCATACTCATATGGGCAGAGGTCCAGTGCTAACATCAGTGTCTTCCTCAATCACTCTCTCCACCTTCAGTATTGAGGCAGGGTCTCTCACCAACCCAGCTATCCAGCCAGCTACCTTGTTTACAAGGATTCTGTTTTTTCCATCCTACACACTGATACTACAGGCAGGCCACAACTCCCACCCAGCATTTACCTGGATTCTGGAGATTGGATCGCTGGTCCTTACACTTTACCCACTGAACAATCTCCATAGCCTGCCAGGAGGTACTTGTAAGACTTGTTGAGTTCAGCAAGGGCCATGGAGCTGTTGAAGGCCATGGTATCTGCATGCCTGACCTAATGTCACCTGGTCCCTTCTTTTCAGTCATTAAGTGCTTGGCCACTGGTCCACTACAGAACAGAGCGCACCCCAGGTCCTAGCCTCTAAGTGGCAGTGGTTACAAAGCCAGATGGCTGTCCTTTGGGCCTCCCACTAGGAGAGAGACTGTGACCAGGCCCTGCTAAGGTGATGGAAGGCCACTGGTCCACTACAGAACAGAGCGCACCCCAGGTCCTAGCCACTAAGTGGCAGTGGTTACAAAGCCAGATGGCTGTCCTTTGGGCCTCCCACTAGGAGAGAGACTGTGACCAGGCCCTGCTAAGGTGATGGAAGAGGTTTGTGGCGACAAGGAGCAGCAGGAAGTTGGATAAGCGATTATAGGGGCAATGGAGAATGATCACAGTGGGGCAGGAACACAGAGACAGCAGGCCAGAGGTGCTGTGCTGGGGAGGCCTGGCCCCGGGGCTACTGGGAAGAAGGTACAGCTTTGTCTTGCAGGCAGGAGCATCCTTCCCCATTTTCTTGGATGTACCCCCTAGGCCTGGGGTGTGCACAGGGACACCCTGTAAATGTTCACTGAGAGGCTGAGGATCTTCTGATCCATTTCCTGTCTCCTCACTGTCTACCTACCTGGCTGCTGGGAATTGAACCTGGGGCTTCATGCTGTGATCTCCTGCTGGTGCTCAGCTGTGGGTGCTTTCCAAGAATCATGGCTCCAGGAACCCAACCCCCAAAGGTCTCTCTCATCATCTGTTGCTCCAAGGACCCTACCTTCTGTGCCAGAAGGTACCCCAGTTCCAGGACCACTGCCCTCCAGTGCCTTCACCTGTCCACACGGGGGAAAGAGTACTTGGAGCATGGTGTGGGCCTTGTAGATATGCTCTGAACCAGAAACAACCTGGTCTCCCTGCCTGCTCACAGGCTCAGGGGTATAGGTTTGAGAGAACCCACCTCCAGTCCTTTGGAGCTCTGCAGACCAGCATGGTGAATGTCAGGGTGCCAGTTGACCCATCCCTAGTCTCCCTTGGTGGCCAAGGCAGATGGGACAGAAAGCTGCTGGGTGCCAAGGCTCCGGTCCGTCCTCTGCAGATTGCAGGGCTCATAGGCACTTGGGATGGTGTGTCTGAGGAGCGCCAAGGAAGGGGCCGTTTCCAGTTTCAGTGGTATAACGTTTTGGCATTGTGGTCCTCAGTGGGGCCAAGCTTGAGTAGAGAAAAGGAGTAGAGAAAGGGAGTCTGTCTGTCTTTTTTTTTCTGTCTCCTATGGATAGACAAGCTCTTTAGAGTGAACCCTGGAGAGCATCGAAACCAAGCGCAGACCCCACGTGGAGGGTCAGCTCACAGAGGAGAGGGGTTCAGAAGGGTTCGCATTTGCTCCTGAGGTACTTAGAAACCTTCAGGTGTGAGCATGTGACTGTGTGTGACAAGGCCCAGGTACTGGTCTCTAAAATGGAGTAGTGATGCTTCCTTCCTCGCGTGGTTGGAGGATGGAGTGAGTTGGACACCGCAGGCACACAGGACATGGGATGGAGCAGGTGGGGCTCTGGAGCTCCCCATGCAGTGGTTGCTCCTGTTGCCGCCTGCTGGGAGCAACCTGAAGGCACAAGCGGCCTCCTGGAACATGGTCCTGGACTCTGCTCCATACACTGTCCTAGGCAGATTTTCAGGAGAAAGAGACTGATGGCCATTTCTGCACAAGAAAGCAATGTCTCTAGGTTTACTTGGAAAGTTCCAGGAAGAGGGCCCAGGATTTGACAAGAGAACAGTGACTGGAGCCTCCAGTCATCCCTCAGATTCATATAGTTCTGGGCAAAACCAGCCCAGAGGACGGCCATTTAACACATTCTCTGGGAACCTAATGCTCTTCTTGTCTGGCTGGGTGGGCCTACAGGCCTACAGGGCCAGGAGAAGTCTGCAACAAATGAACCTGGGCCAAGGAGGCCCCTGGAGCTGTGGCTCAGAAAAGCCCCAGGGACCTGCCCCATATGGCTCAAAGCACAGTGTGGGCTGGGAGATGGCCCAGTCGATACAGTGCTTGCCATGTGCATGAGGGTCTGAAAAAGCCAGGTGTGGTGCATACATTTCATCCCGGCACCAGGGAAGCCTGCAACAAATGAGCCCCGAGGGGGGAATCACTGAGGCTACCGGCCACCCAGCTTAGACAAGTTGGTAAGTTCCAGGTGCCAGGGAGAGACTGTCTCAAAAAGTAAGGTGGACAGCCCCTGAGGAAAAATGCTAAAAATTGGCCTCCAGCCTCCACACAGACACACACATGCACCCACATATATGAGCACACTCCTTAAGACACAAAGAATACAAAGAACTTGAAGGCAAAGGAAGACCTCACTGATTCAAGGAGTCACAGTGTGGGCAGTGGGAGTCTGGTGGGCCAAGAAGAGGAAGGCTTTGCCTGCAGGCAGTGCTCAAGCATAGACAGGCTCAGTGTCTGTGGCCTTGAGGATGCTGGGAGGGGATGGGAGGCCATGGGCTTACAAGACAGGCTGGGGCCAGGTTGGATGGGAGGTGTTAACACCAGGTTCCTTCTGCTTCCTGGGTATCAAGGGGGAATGGGAGGCATGGACCTGGGTGTGCAGCTCCCCAGCCCATTGGGGGAACTGGGCATGAAGCTGGAGTGAAGCCTGGAGGTGACCGAAAGGGCAAGGCACTGAGAGATGCTCCTCCCTTGGATTCAGCCACAGTGGGCAGTGGTACTGAGGACTAGATTAGGAGAAGGTTATGAGAAGTGGGGGTGACCATGGCCCTAACAGATGGCTAAAGCATACCACAGAGGCTATGGTGTTTCTACCCAACTTGCCCTAACTGGTTACAGCAAGCTGACAAGCTCCACAGTGAAGCCCATTATACACTGGGGGTACTAGGGGTCATACAACCCCACACCAGGGCCAGTGCATTGAGTACCACAGTGCCCTTTCCCCAGCTCTTCCCACATGGCCACTTAGGTCAACAGCAGGGTAAGAGAAGAGGCCACCTAGGGGCATCTGAGAGACGACAAGTTGGGATGTTGGGTGATGGAAGGTGGCCAGAGGCTGCATGAGAAGTTGGCTCTCTCCAGGCCCTGGAGGGGTGCTGGGAGGCTGGGGCACAGCCCATGTGTTCTCATTCTCTGCAGACCTACCTCCGTGTAGTCCCAGCACCCACCAGCCCCCCATGTTCATCTGTACAATGAATGGCCGGGGGGCGGGGCATCTAGACTCAGGTAGGAGGATGGGGTGGAGCATCTGTGTCCCCTCCGCACTCCTGAGGGTCTCATTTTGGGGCATCAGGGTGCATGTGCTCCCTTGGTCATGTCAATCAAATTCTTGCACTGAGATTGCTCCCTCCCTCTGTTCATAGAGCTCTGCTTAATGGCTTCTCACCATAGTGGTCTGGACACGTGTCCGCTCACAGCTCTGTAGCTCCACCGACCACTATCTTCAAGCATGGACCTTAGTGCCCTGTTCTTCGGGGGTCTTTCATCCACTTACATCACTTCCCTAGGAACTGCCAGCACCCCCAGGGCACTGATTGGAATCTCTAGGGCAACTGGGTGGGTGGGTGGTGTTCTCAAGGGATTCTGTTTAAAAGGAGGAAAGATTTACTTTGGTTTTCGATTTTAAGTTCCAGTCCATGGTCCCTGTTGCTCTGGGCCTGTGATGGCCCAGTACATCAGTGGGTGTATAGCTGAGGAAGCCGTCCACGTTACGGCAGCTAGAAGCACGGCCAGACAGGAAGGAGCCATGATCTCAAAATCCCCTTCAAGGGTGTGCCCTGACTTCTTCCCACTAGGCCACACCTCTTAAAGGTTCCAGGACCTCCCAATGGCACAGAGCCTTTAACACAGAGGTCTCTGGAGAGCATTTAACTACATTGCAGGGCGTGATGGCACACGCCTTTAATCCCAGCACTTGGGAGGCAGAAGCAGGCAGATCTCTGTGAGTTTGAGGCAAACCTGGTCTACATAGCGAGTTCCAGGCCAGCTGGGGCTGCAGGGAGATCCTGCCTCAAAAAGACAAAAAACAAACAAACAAACAAACAAACAAACTATAGGATGGAAAGATGGAGAGATGAGAGCTGGCTGGCTGGATGATGAATGAATGAATGAATGACTATGAGGCTTCCTGACCCTCCCCCAAACCCTGTGTACCCCATGATGCAGTATATAGAGTATGTATATAGAGTATATACAGTCCAGTTACCAAAGGCTTGCTCTCTCCTCAGCACTACTCGTATCTTGGGCTGGATAAGTCTTCACCGTCTGTGCATCATAAGACGTTTGCAACATCCTTGGCTAGCAAGTGGCATCTAGCTGAGCTGTGACAACCAAAAGTATCTCCAAACTCTGTTCCTTTGGCAAAAGCACCCATGATGGAAAACCACACTTGGTAACTACTAAGTTACATCTTCACTCTTTTTTTTTTTTTTTTGTCTTTTTGAGGCAGGGTCTCCCTGTAGTCCTGGAACTCACTATGTAGACCAGGCTGGCCTTGAACTCACAGAGATCTGCCTGCCTCTGCCTCCCAAGTGCTGGGATTAAAGGCGCGCACCACCATGCCCAGCCTTAATAAATCTTTCTCACAAAACACCACCCCAACGACCGCCATCCCAGCCCCAGTCCCCAAGGAGAATAGCTCAGTCCAGGTGACCTCAAGCCTTTGGATAAAAGAGCTGCTAGAAACCACAGGCTTTGCTGCTGTCATTTATTATTTACCACATATTTACATTTCACCGGGAAGCCTGCCTGTCCACCAAGGCCTTTGGTTTCTCAGTGGCCAGCCTGCTGCAGACCAGCCTCAAGTCCAAAGTTGAGGTTCTGGGACATCAAACATTCAACAAAAGGGGCCGGTGCTCTTCATCAACTGTGTCACCTGAAGGGATTTCATAGGTTACACACAGGGAGGAGTAGAGACAGCCGAGGAAAGACACAAGACTGGAGAAGTACATCACACCATTGGCACTGCCCACGGCTGAGGTCAGGGGCCCCAGGACCAGGGAGACCAGGATCTGGGCCAGAAAGTATTGGCAGCTGAGCAGCGAGATGTCCACTCCCATGCCGCGCCGTGTGCCATCTGCACTGGACCCTGCAAACTGACCGGAAGAGGATCACATCAGTCAGAACTGTCGTGGCCACCACACAGAGCTAGGGATGAAAGGCTCTGGGAGGACCAGGTGGGAGGGAGGCCCTTCTTTCTCAGGGCCAGCATGCACAGCAGGACCAGTTAAAAGGTTAATCATACTTTTTTTTTTCAGTCTTTTTGAGACAGGGTCTCCCTGTAGCCCCAGCTGTCCTGGATTCACTATGGAGACCAGGCTGGCCTCAAACTCACAGGGATCCTCCTGCCTCTGCCTCCCAAGTGCTGGGATTAAAGGCGTGCACCACCATGCCCGGTTAATCATACTTGTGTTCAGAGGAGTGACAACCTGTGACATGGAGCAGGAGGCATCGGGCACATGCCCAAGCACTTGGGGTCTCTCCCCTCTATTTTGGCCCATGGCAGTGGCTGCACAATTCTGTGAGTATACTAAAAGCCTGTTTATTTTATTTTATTGAGTTTTTGAGATGAGTTTCATGTAGCCCAGGCTAGCTTCAGACTCACTTTGTAGCAGATGACCTTGAGCTCCTGATTCCAACCCACCTGAGTTGTAGACTTTAAATGTGTGCACTGTATGGGGAGCTGGGTATGGTAGCGCATGCCTATAATCCCAGTACTCAGGAAGTACAGGCAGGAAGTCCAGGAGTTTGAGGCCAGTCCCGGGTACTTGGGGCGGGGGCTGGGGGAGGGGAGAGAACTGCTTAGAGAATTATACACCAGTGCAGTTGTGAAGGAGAAATCATGCTAAGGGTGGGCAAGATGGCTTGGCAGATAAAGGCATTCACCCAACGCTGTAAACCTGACCTAAATTCAATCTCCGAAATCCATTTAAGGATAGAAGAAGAAAAACAACTCTACTAAAGGTGTTCTCTGACCTCCACAGGGTATACTGTGGCATGCGTATCCCCACAACAGCAGTAATAACAATAATAAAGGATCGGGGGCTGGAGAGATGGCTCAGCAGTTAAGAGCATTTGCTATTCTTGCAGGTCTGGTTCCATTCCCACACGGCAGCTGACAAGGGTCTGTAACTCGTTCCAGGGGATCTGAAATGCTTTTCTAGCTTCTGCAGGCTCTGTACGCACATGGTGCACATATGCACATACAGGCAAAGCACTCACACACATAAATTTATTATATAGCTTATTTATAACTTCATTTTATATATACATATATATATGCATATATGTGTGTATATATATCTTTTTGGAGCCAGGGTCTCCCTATAGCCCCAGATGTCTTGGAACTCACTATAGACCAGGCTGGCCTTGAACTCACAGACACCCACCTGCCTCTGCCTCCTGAGTTCTGGGATTAAAGACATGCGCCACCGCGCCCGGCGAGAGGCAGGATTTTAAAAAGCAGAATCAGTGTAGAAGGCTTGTGGCAAAGAAGCTGTCAAGTTTCCATTGATACAGGCTCTGTAACTGCTGTGCCAAGCCACCTCTGCCAGCCCTCCTAGCCATCTCTCCAGCCCCTAATCTCCATTTTCAGCCAAAGGCCTTGGGGCTCAGCCTATCCCTGGGTTATCTCCAGTGAGGTGTTTCTAAGAAGCCAAGTGGCAATCACACCCACCTTCTTACTCTGGTAGTAATCACAGAGCAGTGAGTAGGGCAGGGTGCAGAGCGTGGAGAACAGGATGCCGTAGGTGATGCAGAGGGACAGGACCACGTACAGGTTCCTGGAGAGTGTGGCCAACCCAGTGCCCAGGCCAAAGGCAAGGTAGGCAATAAAGTAGAGGGTACGGACGCTCAGACACTCCTCCAGTTTGTCCAGGATGGCTGCAGGAGGGACAGAGGCTGAATAGGGGGCAGGCATCCTCCCTGCACCACCTCCTCAAGGCAGACCCAGAGGGAGCCACGCAAAGCGAAATAACATTGTTGGAAAGCTCTTCTTGGGAGGACAGTCTGACAAGATTGCTACATGGATGACAGGATCTGGGGTGTCCTCATTCACACCCTCCCCACAGGGGCACAGACACTTCTACAGACAAAGAGGTGAAACACCAAAGAGGCCTGAGGTCTTAAGCTAAACCTGCGGGACTCTCTGCAGATCACATCCCTGTGCCTCTTGCCTATGAGAGGAGCAGCAACTGTCCATCCCAGGCTGGCCGCCATCTTTACGATTGCCATGATGTACCCAAAGATGGCATGAGAACAGGGGTCACAAAACAGGGCCACCCAGCTATAGAGACCCCGATAACCCAAAGTGTTGACTCGGGCTTGCAAGTGACATTTGATTTGGGAGGCTCTGGGGATTGAACTCAGGGCTTCAAACATGCTGAACACATACATACACATAGCACTGAGCTACACTTCCAGCCTACAAATGCTTCATACAGTCTCTCTACCCACCCCAAGAAGTAACAGCCTGCACTTTAGGGTTCAATGACCTCACTAAAGTGAGGGGAGTCAGAGAAGGCAGTCAGTATACAGCTGCCTGCAGCCTGGTTTTGATCTGTATTGAATTTTTTTTTTTTTGGTCTTTTTGAGACAGGGTCTCCCTGTACCCCATCTGTCCTGGAACTCACTATGTAGACCAGGCTGGCCTTGAACTCACAGAGATCTGCCTGCCTCTGCCTCCCAAGTGCTGGGATTAAAGGTGTGCGCCACCACGCCCGGCTTGTATTGAATTTTTTTTGTTTGTTTTGTTTTTGGTCCTTTTTTTGAGACAGGGTCTCCCTGTAGCCCCAGCTGACCTGGATTTGCTATGAGGACCAGGCTGGCCTCGAGCTCAGAGATCTACCTGCCTCTACCTCCTGAGCACTAGGATTAAAGGTGTGCATTAGCACACCCAGCTCTCTGTATTTAATTTTTTTTTTTTTGGTCTTTGTGAGACAGGGTCTTCCTGTAGCCCCAGCTGTCCTGGATTCACCATGGAGACCAGGCTGTCCTCGAACTCACAGAGATCCGCCTGCCTCTGCCTCTCAAGTGCTGGGATTAAAGGTGTGTGCCACCACGCCCGGCCTCTGTATTTAATTTTTTCTGCTCTCTGTATTTCATTTTTCTGAACGTGTGTGTGTGTGTGTGTGTGTGTGTGTGTGTTTGTGTGTGTGTATCGCTGTCATGCAATGCTGGCAGAGGACAGAAGAGGCTGTCGGATTCCCTGGAACTGAAATTACAGACAGTTGTTAGTTGTCATGTGGGTACTGGGATGCGAACCCAGGTCTTCTGCAAGAACAGTCAGTGATCTTAACCACAGAGCTATCTGTGATCTGCCTGTATGTAGGTATATCACATGCATGCAATGCCTGCAGAGGCCAGAAGAGGGCATCAGATCCTCTGGAACTGGAGTTACAAACTGGTGTTAGTTGCCATGTGAGTGCTGAGAATCAAACCCAGGTCCAAAAGAAGCTAATCTCTCCAGTCCCGGTTTTGTACTTAAGAGAAGTTTTTAAACATTTATTTACTGTGTGTATGAGGGCAAATGTGTGCCATGTGTGGAGGTCAGAGGGCAACCTGTGGGAGTTGTTTTTCTCCTTGTGCCATGTGGGTTCCAGGGACTGAACTCAGGTCATCAGGCTTAGCAACAAGTGCCTTTACCTGAGCCATTTCACTGGCCCAATATTTGTATTTTCAAATGGTTGAAAACAAATAAAATGAGTTTGTCTGTTTGTCACATGAAGGGTAGAAAACACGCATCTCAGAGAGTACAAGTCCAACGTTGTTGGCTTAGGGCCACACCAAGTTCCTTCTGTACTGTTTGTAACAAAAGCCCTCTAGGCTCAAAATCTGGAAATTTCTGCTGTCTGGCCCTTTACCCCTAAGACTCCTGAGGGAACACCCACCCAGTGCACACTGCCAGCCAGGGGTACTGCACCGACTCCAGACTGAGGGCCCTCACACCTGCCCCTCCTGCCCCTCCACGGGCACCAGATGGATGTGTGCCTCCTTCCGTGCCTCCCTCTGGTCCTGCTTCTCTGCAGAGCCTCGTGGGAAGGGCAGGGTTTGGCAGGCGCACACCTGCCTGCATGTGGGCCCACGTCTGGTCCCTTGGCCTTGCCTCACCCTCATTTGTGAACCCATGGCTTAGGCAGTCTAGACATGCCCCTTTTGGGGTGGTCCCTCTTTGGAGACCTGCAGCCCACAGGGTTGGCCTCTGCACCCCAGGTGTCCACTCTGGGTCCAGATCATGCCACTGGCAGGCTTAGCAGTGGCTGAGGACTTGAATAAAAGACTGACATCAAGTGAGACTTGGCTCCTACAGCTGGAGACATGACATTTTGGTCACTAAGCTCCTCAGGGGCCACCCAAGGGCCACCAGGCCCTGGAGAAACAGCACGGGCAGCAGATGCAGGTACCTGAGTAGAAGGCAGCACTGAAGGCGTAGATGCACATGCCCCAGCAGCCCATGGTCACGCCGCTGTTGTACCTCTGATAGGCTTCCGACGCGTGCGGGGCCTTCGGATCACCCTGGAACACCACTTCACCCATGAAGTCGGTGTAGAAGAGCAGCAACCCCTCAAATGAGAGCCACCCTGAAGGAAGATGGAGCCGTGATCTGGGGTCCTTTGTCCCAGCCACTTACTGGTCAGACAGTAACACATGAAAGCCAGGCGTGGTGGCGTACACCTGCAATCCCAGCACTTGAAAGACAAAAGCATGAGGCTCTGGAGTTCAAGGTCAACATCAGCTATTTTGAAAAGCATTTTGAAATCCTCCATTTTGGTCGAACTGTGACAATTCCCATAAGACAGTAATTTGCTTTTTAGAACGAAAGTAACTTATTTCTCTAGATTCTTGTCTTCCCTGCCCCACAGACAGCCTTCAAACCGCAGTAATGACTGACCAGGAAAGATGTTTATCAAAATCACCTAGCATTCTTTATCTGACATTCACTGGTTGCCCCTAGCAATAGTCAACTGTGGACCAAAAAGGGAAACTTTTCAATCCCCTTCCTACCCCTCTTCATCTCTGCCATGTGGGCCTGATCTCTCCTCAGAGGCATCCCCTATTCTCATCTCCCCATGCTGCTGCCTGTCTGTTTCTGGTGTTAATATCTCTTCTAATATATCACTATGTGTATATATATATGTATATATACACACATCTCTCTCAATATATACATATATATCTATATATACATACACACATATAAATATATATACATATCTATCTATCTATCTATCATCTATCATCTATCTATATAGATCAATCTATCTCCATGTCCTACTTGAATCCTAAATCTAAAACCTTTCAAGCTACCTGGCAAGTTGGGGGCCAGCCTGGTCTACACAGTGAGTCCAGGACCAGGCTGGGCTATATGAGACCCTGTCTCAAAAATGAAAAAGAACCAGGCATGATGGTGCAAGCCTTTGACCCCAGCACTTGGGAGGCAGAGGTAGGCAGACCTCTGTGAGTTTGAGGCCAGCCCGGTCTACACAGCAAGTTCCAAGTCAGCCAGGAGTACATAGTGAGATCCTGTCTCAAAAAAACAAAGAAAGGGACTGGAGAGATGGCTAAGTGGTTGAGAGTACTGGCTGCTTTTGCAGAGACTTTTAAAAAGTACTTTATTGTTTATTTTATGTGTGTGAGTGTATTGCCTGCATGTTTGTAAATGAACCCATGTCATGCAGTGCCCACAGAGGCCAGAAGAGGGCATCAGATTTCCCTGGAACTGGAGTTATGGACAGTTGTTAGCTGCCATGTGGGTGCTGGGAACTGAACCCAGGTCCTCTGTAAGAGCAGCCAGTGCTCTTAACCGCTGAGCCATCCCTCCAATCCCGCAGAGACATTTCTAACAGTCTTGCTGGTGCTGTGGACTCTGGCCTTCTGTATGGCAGCCCTGGCTTACTGCATAGTCTCAGTCATCCTCATGTTCAACAATTCCACAGCACGGAGATGAATGTCAAATGAATGAACTACAGTAGGGGCTTTTCAACAGCTACTGGAGTGCCAGGCCCCGGCGTTCAGGGCCTCAGCAGGTGCACAGGGGGGAGTGAGGTTGGCATGCATTCACATGTGACAGAGGATGGCATGCTGGGACAGTGGGTTCACTGTGAGTTGTCTGAGACCTTTTAAGAAGGAATGAGGTGGGCCGGGTGTGGTGGCGCCTGTCTTTAATCCCAACACTTGGGAAGCAGAGGCAGGCAGATCTTTGTGAGTTCAAGGTCAGCCTGGTCTACATAGTGAGTTCCAGGACAGCTGGGGCTACAGGGAGACCCTATCTCAAAAAGACAAAAAAAAAAAAAAAAAAAAAAAAAAAAAAAAAGGAATGAAGATTGGCTCGGTGAGAATGGGGTGCCTCTCAACTGTGACATCCAGCTTGACCAGGGCACCTGGAGGAGGGCCCCCAAGCATAATGGCTAGACACACGGTCCACCTTTGCTCTTGTCTGGGAGGCTAAGGAACACAAGAAGCCCCTGAGAAGCAGGACTCTGGGGTGAGACCCCACACGGGCAGCACCCTGGCCGCACCCAGACACAGACCAGGGCGTCATGGTGAGCTCACCCAGGAAGTGGTTGACGCAGAGGTTGCGCAGCGCCTTGGGCATGTTGTAGATGGTGAAACAGAGGTGCCGCAGGGACAGGGGCTGTTCCGACTGTTCACTGGAGCCCGTCAGCTCACTCTCATATTTCACACCGTTCAGTAGGATGTTTGCCACCTACAATGGAGCCACAGATACCTGCATGAGAGTCAGTGGGCCTGCATTCCACAGAGGCGTGTGCTGGGCTGGGCTGAGCAGCATTACCACAAACAGCACACAGCACACTCTGAGGACACTGTCTTCTTTCCAAATTTTTAAAATGTTATTTGTTATTGTGGTGTGTATGACAACACATTGTGTGTGTGTGTGTGTGTGTGTGTGTGTGCGTGCGTGTGTGCGGTGAGTGAGTGCATGCATGCTTCAACATGAGTGTGGAAGTTACAGGACAACTTTTGGGAATCCGTTTTCTCCTACTCTGGGTTCTGAGGATTGAACTAGGTCATCAGGCTTGTACAAGACTATTTACCCACTGAGCCATCTCACCTGCCCCATGCTGCCTTCTTAGAGGGTAAAAATAAGCACCCCCAAACAAAGAAGGACAAAGGTGTCTGCAACTTCTTGTTTGAGACCTGGGAGCAGCTGGAGGTAGAAATCGATTGTGAACATGCCCACGGTGTGGTATAGGATGTGTGCGAGACCCATGTCACATGGAAGAGAGGATTCCCTCACAAAATACAGTGCAAATAAATACAGAACAGTGGTTGGGGACGTGGCTCAGTCGGTAAAGTGCTTGCCTTCTGAGCATGAGGAAACCAGTTCAATCCTTGGAATCCAGGTTTAAAAAAAAGCATGATGGCACACACTTTTAACCCCATTTGGGTCTTACTGGTCAGCTAGACTAGCCTACTTTTTTTTTTTTTTTTTTTTTTTTTTTTTTTTTTTTTTTGTCTTTTTGAGACAGAGTTTCCCTGTAGTCCCTGGAACTTACTGTGTAGACCAGGCTGGCCTCAAACTCACAGAGATCTGCCTGCCTCTGCCTCCCAAGTGCTGGAATTAAAGACATGCACCATCACTAGCCTACCACTCTCTCAAAAAACAGGATGATACCTGAGGACCAACACCCAAAGGTGATCGATCTCTGGCCTCCACATACTGGTTGCATACACGTACACACAGACACACAACTGATCAGTTCTAGCCTAGCCCTCACCTTCTTTCTCATGAGGGAAGGGGAACACCTGTTCAAAACCCTCTCTCACAGGTAGGACTCTGTCACACAGGGCAGGGTGGCCATATTAGAGGGATCGCCTCAGCCCTCAGGGGGACTTGTCATGTGCTGGAGGCATCCCACTGTCTGCAGAATGGAAGGGGCAGCTGCCGATCCCCTGGGCACAGTGGGCCACTGGTGTAGCTGCCGATCCACTGGGATGACGCTTCACTTCCTGCACCCTACCTGGGTTCAGGGTGCATACTCTAGCCTATGCAGTAATCCTGGAATTGAGCTGTTTGGAGGATAAGGAAGAGCACTGCTCTGGCTGGGGTGGGGGGGATGGACTGTAGGCAGGTGGTTGTCTTTGTGGGAAAAGTAGGAAGCCCACAGTGCTGCTTCCCAGGGTGGCCATACCAACAAGGCTTCTCACCCACGCCTGCGGTAGGAAGCTAAAATCACAGCAGGTCCCCACGTGAGCCTGGGTGTATTTACACTGAGCTCACTTTTCTTTTTCCTTTGAGAAAGGGCCTCTCTCACTCATCTTCCAAGTGCTGAGATTATATGCATGTACCCACTACATGAGTGCGGGAGATGGACTACAGAGTTTCATGCCTGCTAGACAGCATCACTAATTGAGTCACACTCTCAGTCTGGAGCTCATGATTTTTTTTTTTTTTTCTTTTTTGGTCTTTTTGAGACAGGGTCTCCCTGCAGCCTCAGCTGGTCTGGAACTCACTATGCAGACCAGGCGGGCCTTGAACTCACAGAAATCTACCTGCCTCTGCCTCCCAAGTGCTGGGATTAAAAGCATGTGTCACTACACCCTACTAAAAAGTTTATTTTTTATTTGATTTTATTTATGTGTAAGTATGAGTGTTTTGCCTGTGTGTGTGTTAAGCACACCCATGCATGCTATGCTATACCTGCAGAGGCCTGGAGAGGGTGTTGGGTTTCCTGGAAATGGTGTTGCTGTTGTGAGCTGCCAGGTGACTGCTTGGACCTGAAACCCCAGTCTTCTGCAAGCACTCTTAATTGCTGAGCCAGCTCTCCAGTCCCAGCTCACAATTTTACTGTCTTTAAAGAACTGATACCACACTGCACTGGGACTAGGAGGCATCAGCTAATTGACAGAACAGAGGCTGGGAGGGACTAGGGAAAGGGGTACTCAGACAGCCTCTGGCTCACTGAAGAACCGCACCTCGGAAGCCACCAGAGTTTTGTGAAACAGAACACTCCACTATGGACAATGGGCCAGAGAAGCTCATGAACGCCATCAAAATGAAGATGTGCCCTTGATGTGAACAGTTAGGAAACCCCTGTATTTGACAAGAATGGTTTCGAATACGTCTCCCAGATGGGAGCTCATGTGTGGGACTCCTCCCTGGGAGGAGTCTCTACAGAGCCCTTTCTTTCAGGTCACTTTGTGGCCTGAGCAAAGTGTCTCACTGGGTCATGCTCCAGTCTCCCCGGACTTTGGAACTGCTCCCCAAAGGGACCTGGGCAGGTTAGATGTCTTCATGTGACAGGGCCTATGGCCAAGAACCCCCAAATTCCTGACACCCTCTCCTCCTGTGAGGTCCCTGAGGCCAGCAGGGCACAGACTGTATATCTACTTAAATAAGAGGACAACCGGGCTTTGACTTAAAGGAGCCTCCTCAAGGTCATGTGTGCTCTGTGTGTGTGTGTGTGTGTGTGTACATGTGGAAGCCAGAAGACAACCTCAGGTGTTAGCTACCTTGTTGGACAGGTATTGGACAGGTGTCCAACCTGTCCCTCAGGTGCTAGCTACCTTGTTTTGTTTGTTTGTTTTGAGACAGGGTCTCCTTGTAGCCCCAGCTGTCCTGGAACTGGCTCTATAGATCAGGCTGGCCCTTGTGCTGGGACCAAAGGTGTGCCCCACAACGCCTGGTTTCATCTACCTTGTTTTTTGAGTCAGGGTGACTCACTGACTGGAGCTTACCAATTAAGCTAGGCTGGCTGGCCAGCGACCCCAGGGAGCTTCCTGTCTCTACCACCCCTGTGCAGGGATTACAAGCCTGTGTCACCCACACCCAGCCTTTTTATCTGGGTTCTGGGGATCAATTCAGAACCTCATATTTTCATTGCAAGTACTTAACCAATGGAACCATCTTCCTAGCCCAAGGTCATGCACTCTGAAAGTAACCTCAAGTGGCAACTGATGTCATTATGGCTAATCTGACAGACAAAAGACATCTCAAACAGCCTTCCAGAAGATTCTGTGCCTTTGCAGAAGATGCTGATACCCTTCAGCATCCAGTTTCTGCTGCCTCTCAGCGTCAGCTAGTGTCAGACATGAGCAGACTGCCCATACCAGGGGATGTCCCTGCCCTGCGGGCTGGCACTGTCTTCCTTTAAGACACAGAGAGAGCTGCTGCCGCCACATGGCACACGTGGCAGTGGGTAGGCCCTTGAAGAAAAGGGCTAGAAACCAGTGGTGTGCACACAGTTCTTATGTGACTATCTAGACAGACAATCCTGTATCCATGTAATTCACAGTCCCTTATAGACACTACCCTGACTGTGCCCTCCTGCCTGGGGACTCAGGTATCCCAGATTTACACATCCACACACAAAGGAAGATGCCTCAGAGGCTGGTCAGTGCAGATGAGAGGACTTGGAACACCGCCATGATGGCCCAGGATTTCCTTCACCCTCTAACTGACAACAGGGTCAGCCACACAGGCTGTCAGATCCTCATCTCCCCCGTGACATTTGCTTTTACCTGTTGGCTGAAGGTCACGTTCCTTCTCCTGCTGGTTTCAGGGCCACTGCCTCCGGCCACATCTGGAAGAGCCAAGGTCTGGGGCCTCTTCAGGATCCCTGAGGCCCGAGGCTTGGAGGTATCCAAGGAGCCCACCCTCAGCACATCTCCATCAGAGCCCAAAGTCAGAGCCCCCTCTCTCCTCTCCAGCAGCCCCCGCTCCTGGCAATAGAAACCATCCGGGGCCCGGGGGAAGCTGACACTTATGGGCTGCCTAGGGACACTGCTGGGGAGGGCCAGGTAGTTGTCATGGCCCCCAGTGAAGCAGTCAATGAGCACACTGTCTATGTTGGAGGTGCCAAAGGATGATGCGAACTCGTTGATGCCTGTGAGAGAGTTGTCTCTGCTGATAAAGCTGCCATACTTGGGGGTGAGGGGACTGGGTGGTGAGATGGGGCTAGAGAAGCTGGCATACAAGCTGGTGGCTGTAGTGGAGGGGAGGATGTCACTGGCCCCCTCCTCTAACAGCACAGGTGGGGAGGGGGGCAGCGGGAGGCTGGGGCTCTTCATTGCTGTCCTCTTCTCACTCAGCGGCCGCAGGGGTCTCTCTGGGATGCTAATCAGGGTGAGCACAGTGGTGACACTCAGGGTGACCGCGGTGAAGATGTAAATGACTCGGAGCTGGCCACCTAGGGCCCTCCCGAAGCTGGTTTTGTCCCAGTGAATTCCCCCGACCACATAGCCGAACCCTCCTCCGAGACCTGGGAAGAAAGACGGGAGTTCAGTGGTGTCACCAGGCTAGATGGGACCCTGGGAAGAAAGACGGGAGTTCAGTGGTGTCACCAGGCTAGATGGGACCCTGGGAAGAAAGACGGGAGTTCAGTGGTGTCACCAGGCTAGATGGGACCCTGGGAAGAAAGACGGGAGTTCAGTGGTGTCACCAGGCTAGATGGGACCCTGGAAGGTGGTACCGTTTCTTAGAAGGACATTAAAGCAGTAACATCCATCCCAAAGTGGGGTGTCACCGGGCATGGTGATGCATGCCTTTAATGCCAGTGCTTGGGAGACAGAGACAGGCAGATCTCTGTGAGTTTGAGGCCAGCTTGCTCTGCATAGCTAGTTCTAGACCAGCTGAGGCTTCAGGTGACCGCAGGAGACCAGCTGTCTCAAAACAACAACAAAACACAAACCAGTGCTTGGGAGACAGACAGGCAGATCTCTATATGAGTTCGAGGCCATCCTTCTCTGCATAGCTAGTTCTAGGCCAGCTGAGGCTACAGGGAGACCCTGTCTCAAAACAACAAAACACAAACCCAGCCCCAAAGTGGGATGTCCCACCTACACCCCAACAGATGAGAAAGGGATTCAAGGGCGGACCCCCAGGATGTCCCTGACCTGCCTGGACACCTACCTTCTCCCTTCTTGGCGCTAACCTTGGGGCTTGGCTCCCAGACAGCGAGCCTAAGGACCACCTGCCAACCTGTCCTACTGGAGGCAAAGCTTGGTGGAAACATGGAAGAGACTGTTTGCTCTCAGCTACACTCCTTCAAATCCCTCCTGACTGTACTACAGCATAAACACACCAAGACCTCATCTCCAGCACACAAACCAGTGTGTGTGTGTGTGTCTTACTGACACCTTTGTGCATGGCCAGTCTGAGGAAAGTTGCCCCTAGTGACGACCCAGGCCAGTCCTGCCTCTCCTCTACCTGGCGGGCAGTTCGTGTGTGTGTGTGTGTGTGTGTGTGTGTGTGTGTGTGTGTCTTACTGACACCTTTGTGCATGGCCACTCTGAGGAAAGTTGCCCCTAGCGACGACCCAGGCCAGTCCTGCCTCTCCTCTACCTGGCGGGCAGTTCTCAGGATGTCCCAGTCACGGGGAATTGATGTGGAGGTCAGAGGACAATTTGCTGGAATCAGTTCTCTCCTATCATGTAGATTCTGGGGATGGAACTTGGCCAAGTGCCTCTACACACGGAGCCATCTTGCTGGTGAATTTTATTCCTTCCACACCTGAATCCCAGGTTTGTAGCCATTTAACAAGGGCAGGTTTCAGATGGATGTTATTAATTAATTTTTGTTTTAGTATTAGTTTATTATTATTGTGTGAGGGAGGGCAGGGTACACAGCACAGCATGTGTGTGGAAGTCAAAGAACTTTCCCAGAGTCAGTTCTCTCCATGTGGGTTCCAGGGATCTAACTCGGGTTGTCAGCAGCAATCGCTTTTATCTGCTGATCCATCTTCCATGTTCATTAATTAATTTTGAAAAGAGATTATGGGTGCTTTCTCTCGGGTGGCAGACATCCAGAGGAGAGACAGAGAAAGCTAAGTCCCTCTCCTGGCCCTGCCAATCAGGACAGCCCAGCCTGTCTATCAAATGTGCCCCCAGCTTCCTGTTGTCAGCACCCACCCCAACACCCATACAGGTGACATATGCAAGTAGAAAACCCCATGACAGGGTCTGCTAGACATCTAAGCTGAGGTCTAAAGAGGCCCAGCAGTTTGGCCCACACCTCTCAGTTAACAGGGCAAAGGCCTGGGACCTGGGAATACTTTCAATTCCCCAAGCCTGGGCCGCTAATCACCCTCAACCCGGCCATGCACAACCCAGCCTCCTTCTAGGAATCTTGCAAACATCTTCCAAGTCTTTCTTTTAAATATCATGTCAGAGGCTTCAAAGATGATTCAGTGGTTAAGAGCATTGGCTGCTCTTGCTGAGGACCTGGGTTTGGTTCCCAGCACCCACATGGTGACTAACAACCATTTGTAACTCCAGTTCCAGGAAATGACACCTCTGGCCTCTGCAGGCATTGCACACATATGGTACACTTACATACATGTAGGCAAAACACTCATATGCATATAATAAATAAATCTAAAATTACTGTTTTGATCTTAATTAATTTTGAGTTTAAATTTTTAAAATTTGTTTACTTTATGTATGTAAGTGCATCCATGTTGTGCAATGCCCATGGAAGCCAGAAGAAGGCATCAGATCTTCTCAAACTAGAGTTACAGATAGTTGTTAGCTGTCCTGTTGGGGCTGGGATCTGAACCCAGGTCCTCTGCAAGAGCAGCCTGTGTTCTTAACTGCTGAGCCATCTCTCCAAACCTGCTTTTTTTCTTCTTTAAAAAAAATTTGGGGGGATGGAGAGATGGCTCAGTGGTTAAGAACACTGGTTGTTCTAACAGAAGACCCAGGTTTGAATCCCAGCACCCACATGGCAGCTAACAACTGTCTGTAACTCGAGTTCCAGGGCATCCAATAGCCTCTTCTGTCCTCCAAGGGCATTGCACGACTTGGGTGCACTTACCTACATGCAGGCAATACACGCATACACATAAAATAAAAATAAATAAAATATATATTTTTTGATATTGCCCAGGCCAGTCTGGAACTCATACGTTTCCTGCTTCAGTCTTCCAGTTAAAAGCATGGGCCACCATGACAGGCTAAACCACTTTTTTAACTGGGACTTGTTTTTTAATATAGTATTCTGCAATGAGGTGTTTAAGAAAGTTGGAGTTTCTGAATTTTTGTTTGCTGTTTAGTTTTAAAAATTTATTACATTTTTATTATTTTAGTGAGCATGGGGGCAGGTGCATACCACGGCATGTGTACAGAAGTCAGAAGGCAGCCTGCAGGAGTTGGTTTTTTCCTTTCCACCATGTGAGTTCTGGGGACCAAACTCAAATCATGAGTCTTGGAGGCAGGCACTGAGCCATTTTGCCAGCCCCTTCTTGTTTGGAGCCTGGCTGGCCTGGAATTTACTACACAGATCAGGCTGGACTCAAACTTGCTGTGACTCTCCTATCTCTGCGTCCTCCTCAAGTACTGGGCTTACAGGCACACACCACCATACTTGGCAAAACAGTATCTTTTTTTTTCCACCCCCTATATTACTAGAGATTGAACCCAGGGCCTGGAGCACGCTAGACAAGGGCTCTGCCACTGAGCCGCTGGTCTGGTTTCTCTAGAAGGGCTGACAAGCTGGTATCCTGCTGAGTTCTCGGGCTTTGCAGGCGCTGGGCCATGGCTCTTTGGGGTCAGGGCATAATTACCTTGTTCCTGACTTTAGTAGGGACATTTCTCATGTCTTGTCATAGAACCCAGACATGGCTGTATGTGAACACATACATTCTCTCTCCCTCCGTCCTTCTTCCCCCCATCCCCATCTTCATTTGCACATTTTGAATTTGTGACCTCACCTACTCACAGGTTTGTTAATAATACTAAACTAGTGCTCATGGTGTTTTTGCAATCATTCAGGAATATGCATGGTGTTTGGAGATGTGGCTCAGTGGTTAAGAGTACTGGCTGCTCTGGGTTCAAATGCCAGCACCCATATGGTGGTTAACACCGTCTGTAACTCCAGTTCCAGAGGATCCCGTGCCTTCTTCTGCTTCCTCAGGCACATAGTACACTTACATACATGCACACAAAACACTCATAAAATTAAAATACACCTAAGATTAAAATAAGTAAAATCTTTGAAAAATAGAAAATGCACAGAATAGCCAAAGCTCTGACTTGCCCCGGCATGAGGCCCCAGCCTAGGTGGTGACGTCAAGTCTTTGGCCTGGCCTGCCTGCTGCTGCCTTTTTCTGTGTGTCTGAGGGTTCTGCTGGGTTTTCACTGTTTAAAATGCTTCCAGTCTAGCGCTAAATTGCTGCCTAATGTTCCCAAGTTCAAGAAGGTTAAGAAAGTGCCTGCTGGGGAAGATGGGTGTCAGTGAGGGTTATTTAAGCATAAGCTACAGTGCTGTGGGCCAGGAGGCCAGTGTGAGCAAAAACACAGCATACATTAGGGATGGAGCGATGACTTGGGGCTAAGAGCCCTGGCTACCCCTGCAGAGGATCAGGGTTTGGTTCCCAGCACCCATATGGTGGCTAACAACCATTTGTAACTCCAGTTCAGGGGATTTGATGCCCTCTTTTGACCTCTGTAGGCATTGCATGACCCAAGTGTACTTACATACATGCAGGCAATAAACACTCATACACATAAAATAAAAATAAAAAATAAAATATTAAAAAACAGTGTACATTAAACAGAGCCAGTGTCTTTAAACAGAATCAAATAAACAATGTTAGGCAGGACCAGTTTGATGAAGATGTTGTGACCGGGAACTTACAGGACCCTGCCCTAATTTCCTCCTAGGAGCAAGGACTCTCCTTGCTAAGTCAGTGTTTGCATTGACCACAGAGGGACACAACTGCTACAAATAATGAGAATTAACTAAATATATGTGTTTACATTTATGAATCTATATGTCAAGGTATTCAGTTGGCACTCATATCTACAAGGTCAGAATTCTTGGATTTAAAATATTTGGGGAGGGGCTAGAGAGATGGCTCAGTGGTTAGGAGCACTGGCTGCTCTTACAGAAGACCAAGGTTTGGTTTCCATCACCCACATGGAAGCTAACAACCATCTGTGACTCCAGTCCTGGGGGATCTGTTACCTTCTTCTGACCTCTGTGGGCACTGCACACAAATGGCACACTTACATGCAGGCAAAACACTCATACACATAAAATAAAAATAAATAAATAGGACTGGAGAGATGGTTCAGCAGGTAAGAGCGCTGGCTGCTCCTGAAGAGGACCTGGATTCAATTCCCAGCACCCACATGGCAGCTAACAACCATCAGTAACTCCAGTTCCAGGGGATCCAATGCCCTCTTCTGACCTCTGAGGGCATTGCACGACAGGAATGCATTTACATATATGCAGGCAAAACACTCATGCACATAAAATTAAAATAATAAAACGTTTTTCAAAATAAATAAAAAAAAATTAAAACTCCACAAAAACAAACAAACAAACAAAAAAAACCCGAAGGAGCCGGGTATAGTGGTGCACACCTCTCATCCCAGCACTCAGAAAGCAAAGGCAGGTGGATCGTGGGACACACAGTGAGACCCTGTCTCAAAAAAAACAAAAAACAAAAAACCAAAAACAAATCAGATGGAAAAAACTGTATCAAACATATATAGACTGTCTTTAGTCCCTAAATAATACAGTCGTGTTATTACCAAAGATAGATATTTTCAGTCACTTCAATGCTTAGCTATATATTTGAACTTCATCTACTTATTTTTAAATCTAGGGGTGGGAAGGGCCCCTCAAACACACACATTCAAACCCTACAGCTCTGCAGCCTTGCCTGAGGAAGGGACACTCACCTGCCAGGAGGGCGTGGATGTTGAGACCTCGGTCCTGGTCCACGGGGCTGCACACGTCCATCATGTAGGCGTGGCTGGGGTTATCTGCTGAGTCGGCACTGAAGTCCATCAGTACCACCCCGCACACCGTCAGGAGGATGCCCCACTTGTGATTGGTGGCTGTGTCTGCCAGGGCCATGCCCATGTCCCGTCCATTTAGCAAGAGGGAGAGGCCCAGCAATGCTCCTGAGAACAGAAAGACAAAGTCACCCAGAGGAACCCGAGTCCAGCTCTGTCCCCAGTGGCTCACTCCCTACCCTGAAACTAGTAGGGACTCCAGAACTTTCTAAACCAAACTTGAAGAAGAGCCCATGGGAGTCACCTGCAGACATGCAGGGCTTTTTTTCTGCTTGGACCAGAGTTTGCATTCCATTAAGCTGAGCAGGGATAAGAAGGAACCGCATTGGCTCATTTTTATTATTCTTAAATATCTTATTATTTTTACCTATGTGTATGATTGTACTGCCCGCATGGATGTAAATGCACCTGTGTCATGCAATGCCTGCAGAAGTCAGAAGAAGGCATCGGATCTGCTGGAACTGGAGTTATAGATAGTTGTTAGCTGTGATGTGGGTGCTGGGAACTGAACCCAGGTCCTCTGCAAGAATAGCCAGTGCTCTTATCCGCTGAGCCATCTCTTCAGCGCCCCCCACTTCATTTTTAAAAAGTTTTTATTTTCTATGTCTGAGTGTTTTGCCTGTAGGTATGTAAGTGTAATGTATGTGTGCAATGCCTGCAAAGATCAGAAACGGGCATTGGATCCCCTAAAGCTGGAGTTACGGACAGTTTGTTAGCCGGCATGTGGGTGCTGGGAACTGAACCCGGGTCCTCTGCAAGAGCACTCTTCCTGACCACTGAGCCATCTCTCCAGCCATGAGTTGATACTTTTTAAAAGAAAAGATCAAAGTGATTTATTCTTAGGGTTTGTTCAGGTGGGGTTGCCTGGGCAAGCTCTTTTTTTTTTTAAGTCTTTTTGAGACAGGGTCTTCCTATAGCCTCAGCTGGCCTGGAACTCACTATGTAGCTGGTCTGGAACTCATAGAGATCCACCTGCCTCTGCCTCCTGAGTGCTGGGATTAAAGGTGTGTGCCACCACGCCTGGCTCAATTAAGTTTCTCTAAGAGAAAGCAATGGCCTTCTCTCCCTCTCTTTTTCTCTCTCTCTCTCCTTCCTTCCTTCCTTCCTTCCTCCTTCCTTCCTTCCTTCTTTCCTTCCTCCATCCTTCCTTCCTTCCTCCTTCCTTCTTTCCTTCCTCCATCCTTCCTTCCTTCTTCCTTCCTTCTTTCCTTCCTTCTTCCATCCTTCCTTCCTCCTTCCTTCTTCCTTCCTCCTTCTTCCTTCCTCCTTCCTTCCTTCTTTCCTCCTTCCTCCTTCCTTCCTCCCTCCTTCCTTCCTCCTTCCTTCCTCCATCCTTCCTTCCTCCCTCCCTCCTTCCTTCCTTCCTCCTTCCTTCCTCCCTCCCTCCTTCCTTCCTTCTTTCCTTCCTTCCTCCTTCCTTCCTCCATCCTTCCTCCCTTCCTCCTTCCTCCCTCTTTCCTTCCTTATTTTATTTCCATGACAGACAACAGACCTATCGCCAGGACGAGAATGAAAGGACGTCTCCTTCCAAACCTTGAGGTGCATCGGTCACTCCAGGCACCCAACAGAGGCTGCAGCAAGAATCCTGAAATAGAGCAGACCAGTGTCACCGCCAGGATCCCCAGGGCACACAGGGTCGCAAGCACCCTCGTCACACTCCCAAGGCTCCGTGTTCTCACCAACATTCCAGGGCGCAGAAAAGATTCAAGTAACAAGAACGTAGGCTGCAAAGAGATGAATGGACCCTAGCCACCCCCAGACCCTCCTACTCCAGACACCAAACACCCATGACCTTCCTTGGGAATCCCGGAAATCCCAGTCTGCTACCTCTAGCCGCATCACTTTGACAGCTCGGTGTGAGACGGCATCACTGCAGGTTATGCTAAAGCTCCTGTTCTATTGTCCAGTATAGATAAAAGAATTTAAAATACAGGACATGACTGGCCATACTTGTGTTTTCCCACAGCCCCGTACTAAGAAGTGGAACTTAACTCTTGGCTCCTCCCTTGACCCCTCAGGTCCCTCAAGCTGCTTCAGCAGAGGCTTTTGGAAGCTTCCAGATATTTCCGGAGGCTGTCTACCATCAGGGCTCACCGAGGATGGGACTGATGAACCATACCAGGCTGTACAGCTGGTCAGGCAGGCCCATCTGCAGGAGCACTGGGGTCACATATGCAGTCTCCATGGCGTAGCTGAACTCAATGCCAAACAAGATGCAGCTGTTGAAGAGAAGCTCCCGGAAGGACCTCTGTGGGTGCAGGTCCCCAAAGTCCACCAGCTCGATGGGACATGGGGTGTTGGGGGGCGGGGGTGGAGAGGGCCGGATGTACTTCCTCCTCTTGGGGTGGCGTTTGAAGTTGTTGGCCCGGTGGCTGATGTGTCTTGTCATGGACCCTGAGTAGCTGGAGATGGGAGACTGCCAGAGGTCCTGAGTAGCCACACTGGGGAAGAGGGCCTCTCCCGGAGGGGTGCTGCTCGATGGGGGGATCATTGTAGGCAGGGCTGGTGTTTGTCACTGAGAGGGAAGCCCATATAAGGAAAACAATTACTTCATGGGGCCTCCTGCGGAGCCTTGACCTTTGAGGTCTTGACCTTCTCCGGGTCCCTTCCCCACCTGCCTTTCCATTTGAGGAAAGCTGAGTTCACACTAAAGACTGCAGAGTCCACCCTGCCTTCTCATCTACTCATCCCCCAATGTGTCTCCAGTTGTGTACCCCCCAACTGTGTCCCCGAGCAAAGCCTAATGCCTGAGGAATGGATCAGGGCCCTTTGTGTGGGTACAGATCAAAGTGGATGCTCCCTCCATGCTTGGAGACAGGACCCAGTCCTCCACCTCATAGCACTCAGCTCTCCAGGGACATCAGACAGCCTGGGTCAGGACAGTCACACCAAAGACTCTCCTGTGGGAGTCACAGCAGACCTTGTCCTGCCTTGAAAGTCCCACAGGATCAGAGATTAGGAAACAGCAGGCATGGGATGGGAACCCCCCAGGGGTTGAGCACAGTGAGGGGACACCCCTTCCCTCAAGGGGTGAAAAGTACCAGCTGGTCCACTTGTTCCTTTTGTGTGTCTAGGACCCCACCACCACAGGAGCCAGAGGGGCTGAATGCCTCCCTCAAAGTAGCGGAGTGGGTTGGACCTGAGCGCTTTCCTTTCTCAAGTGATTGGACAAGTGAATTTTCAGTCAAGTCAGGAGGACTAAGACCTTTACGGTGTTTGAATTACTCGCTTCACAGAAGTAAGGCTGAGGGTGTAACTGGATGGTAGAGTGCTCGTTCTCTATAGTCCAGGCCTTGGCTTTTATCTCCAAGACTGCAAATGATGAATGAATGAATAAATGAATGAATGAAAAAAGACAGTGAGGGATGAGAAACAGATTCTCTATTCTCAATGTATTCATTCTGGGGGGCAAATTTCACACTTCCCAGAAGCTCAGTAGGGTATCAGCAATGTGAAAGCCTCCACAGGCTTCCCTGTACATCCTGCCCTGCCCCCTGCCCCCTGCCCCCTGCCCTCCAGGGTTTGCTGCTCAGAAACCTATTCACAAGCATCCAACTGCTTTTTACCATTTTCAAACAAATTTAGATTAGAAATATTAAAGGAATGTATTCTAATGTTGACTAATATTTGTTTGTTTGAGACAGGGTCTTTCTGTAGCCCCAGCTGACCTGGAACTTGCTATGAACACCAACCTGGCCTTGATCTCATAAAGATCTGCCTGCCTCTGCCTCCCCAGTTCTGGGGTTAAAGGTGTGCATTACCACACCTAGCTTTTAACCCATGTCCATTTCCTCTCAGCATAGGAAGAGGAAAAGCTACTGAGGCAGAGGAGACAGACAGAAACACAGGAGAGGGGAAGTCCCAGGGTCCTGCTGGATCTCTTGGACATAGACTACCCCATCTGCCCCACAGAAAAGTCACTGATGTGATGCCTTCTTGAGAGCCAGGCTCCCAAATCTGGATACTTTTCCCAACCTTGGGTTTCTTATCAAGATAAACATCTTGGGCTTTGCCTTCAAAATTCATGTGAAGCCTCAGTTTGAAGCCTGTATTTTTGACATTTAACTCACCATACAGAGTTCCATGCTACTAATGTCCTCTTTATGAATCACTCAGAAATTCTACTCCCCATGTGTGTCCAAAATTCCCCCACTACCCACTCAAGCATGTCCTTAGAAGACACCAGTGGTGGAAATGATTGCACTTAGAGAAACCCTAGCAGGATTCAGAACAGCCCCCCAGCTGCTCTCCATCGCCCATCCTTCATCCACCCATCTATCCACCATCTACATTCCAGCTAGTCATCCACCCTCACCATCTACCCACCCATCTATCCATCCATCCGCTATATCCATCCATCCATCCATCCATCCATCCACCCACCCACCAATCCATCTGCCCTCTGTCCATCTATCCATCCACGACCCATCTTTCTATCTCATCTATTCACCAATCATCTATCAATCCTTCTAACAATTCATCATTTTTCCAATCATCATCCAGTCTCTATTCACCCTCCATTTATCTATTTATCACTAACTACCCTCAATCTATCCACCCGTCAATCATCCATTCTTCCATTCATCTATTCATCCATCTGTCCAGCCAACTATTCACGTAGTAGTTTCCCTAACCCTTCCACTCACTCCTTTCTCAGCAAGCCACCTACCTGTCCACCCTCCAATTCATCCTCCCACGAGACTGAGGACCAAGACACTGAGGTCACAGAGACAGAACAATGACACGTTCTTGCTTTCAAGTTAGGTGGAAAAATGAAATACGGGTGTTCTAAGCAGTGGAGATCTTCCTATAAAAAGAAAGAATTAGCTGGCATGGTAGTGCTTGCCTTTAATCCCAGTACTCGGGAGGCAGAGGCAGGTGTAAGGTTTTAAGGGCTGGCAAGATGGCTCAGTGGGAGTTCAATCCCCAGAACCCACATAGCATGGTAGTGCTTGCCTTTAATCCCAGTACTCGGGAGGCAGAGGCAGGTGGATCTCAAGGCCAGCCTGACCTACATAGCAAGTTCCAGGCCAGCTGGGGGTACAGAAAAAGAAAA